CAGGCGAATGGAAAAGTGTGATTAGTGGACTTGGTGCAGGCCTTGATTCGTTTTATGAATATTTGCTTAAAGCTTTTGTCCTGTTTGGTGTTGAGACTGATTTGAGAATGTTTCAGGTTACTGCATAATTTGTAGCATAATTTATTTCAGGTTACTGGGAAATATATCAGTATGACAATTCCCATCCGTAGGAAATCGAAGCGTTATTTTTGTAATGTTTCGAAGTTAAAAGATAAGAAATGATGTGCTTTACCGATTTGTTTCAATAATAACTTTCTTGCTGAGTATTTCATCCGCTGTAAGTAGAAAAAAAACTTTTCAGCGTTTGAGAAAGCAAATCATAATATACGGATATGTGAAATGACTGCTATAAATCATAACATTTTCTGTTAACGATAGTAAATATGAAGGGAGTAGAGTATGAAGATTGAATTAATAAATTCTTTCTTTAAAAAAAAAACAACAATAAACTTATTTATATTGAAATATACAGGAAGCATATGCGCTGATAATAAGCCAGTTACGTCGTGGACGTAAGCGTTGCGTTTTAGGCGAGGGGGAAACGCCAATGTATGTAAATGTTGACATGCGAGATGGCTCGCTGCTAAATACTTGGATCGATGCTTTACAGGTTTGTTATGTGCCACTCTGACTTTTATTTCATTTCATAGGCGTTGTTATTTGTAATATAGTTGAAGCTGATTTAATTTCAATCCTGGGATTTTAAATTTTCGTTTATTTTAATGAGTTATTGTTCGTAGGCTAGTTTTGCGGCTGTTCAAGTATTGAATGGCGATATTGATGAAGCAGTTTGCATCCATGCCATATATTATTCACTATGGAAACGGTATGATGCCCTTCCTGAAAGATATAATTGGCACTTAAAGTAAGTAGAAATTATTTCACTGTTTTATCAGAGACATCATGTTATTCATCACTGTTGAGTTTCTTTTCTCTCCTGTCTTGTATAATTACTGAGTTATGATGGAGAATGGTTATCTTGCGGAATATATGATATGCCTTTTCAGGATTCCCGACGTATATTTTTATCCGCTAAGACCGGAACTAGCTGAATCAACCTACATGTTGTATCGTGCTACACAAAATCCTTTTTATCTTCGTGTTGGTTTTGACATTCTTCAATCGCTTAATACGTTTGCAAGGGTGAAGTGTGGCTATGCCACAGTACACAATGTTGTTGATAAATCGCTAGAAGATCGAATGGAATCGTTTTTCCTTTCTGAAACCGTTAAATATCTGTATCTCGTAAGTTTGTTCTGTAATTTCGAGCCGTATTAAACTAGATGATTCTTCGCATTTTTTGTAATCGAGTTTTTGGTTTCCTTATTTGCCCAAAATCTACACTGTAAATCGAAAAAAAATTTCTATGTGAATTTGACATTTTTTTAGCTGTTCGACGTTAATAACGCAGTGAATCGTAATGAAGAACGTATTATGTTTACCACTGAAGGTCATATAATACCTATTGATAAACGTATAAGAGATCCGGTTTATGATGCACCTCAGTATTTTTCTCGCAATCATTCATGCATTGCGTTTAAACTTGATCGACATCGGCCACCGTTGGATCAGTCTCGTCTTGCTCAAATATTCCGTATAGCTGGCATGAGTTTAGGGTTTTCAGGGTGAAATTTTTAATTCTAGTCCATTTTATCATCATAATTTCTTTTTTATTAATATCTAAGTTCAGGAGAGGCCTTGAGTGTTTTGTTTATCGTTAGCGAGTTTTCCTTATTTTACTTCATTGATTTCTCACAACTTTTAAGTGATTCTAGTTTTGCTTTCTGTAAGTTCCCCTCCTAATATCCATTACTTCTTGATTTTTAGAATTAGTTCGACTTAAAACAATTGTAAGTGAATTAAATGTTCGTCTTTCACTGGTTCTTTTTTTATTAACCTCATTTGGAAATGATTTGTGCTGTTATCCGTTTCCTTGGTGTCTTATATCATTTTTTCTTAAATCAGGTCCAAATTTTATACAATTTTTTTATCTTTTTCTTTTCAAATTCTTGATTTTTCTTGGTGCCTTGCATGCACATTCATGATGAAATTACTTTTCATTCCATGTTAATGTTAGTTATTTTCTAGACAGTAAGTAATTTTCAAATATTTGGAAGAGTAAATTTATTCTGTGGTTTAGGTAGTTTTATCCAGTATTTGCATAGCAAAAGGAATGTGTTTTAATAATTTCTATTTTCAACTCTGTTGTGCACTGTATCATAAAAAGTTTAATGAACTTTCTAAAAGTATTGATTTTGTGCATGTAGTTTTGAACTGATTATGACATTTGAAAAGACGATAGCAATACTGATGACTGTTATTACTGGTAATCCATCGGTTTCCGGAAAGCACATTGCAGGCTTTCCCTAAAAGTAATGGTGGAAAGATTTCATCATATTTTTATTTTTTTTGAAGTGATGGTAATACTCATAGAGTAAACGAAGGTAAGGAAATGTACATCATCTTCATTTTAGTCATCAGTTTACAGAAATAGTTCAAAAATGACAGAATTGGTAATGAATTCTGTCAGCTGCAAAAATTACTTGATTTCCATTGAAGAGAATTTTTCTTCATTAACACAATACCTGATGTCGAAAATGTTTCTCAATTTTTTGAGAAGGAGGTTTCTTAGTTGAATGTATTTAGCCACGTAATGATAAAGATCGGGAAGTTAAAATCATGAAAGTAGCTTGGATAATTATTATTTCTTTTGGTTATTTGCTAGCAGTTGCATTGTTGATGATGATCCAACAGATCGCCTAACTCTTGATAATGAATATTTTATCAGTTTATATTCTAGTACGAACATTTTGTTGTCATCGTTATCTAAATTTAATAATTAAAAAAGTGTACGATAAATTAATGGAAAAAATCTTTGAATTTTTGATTAAAAGTGAAAAAAAAAACTCGGAAAAAATTTGATGATTGCTATCATATAGTACAACGAAAAAAAAAGTCACAGAAAGATGGGAAAAGAAAAAAAAAATTGATGAAAAATGAATGGAAAGTCTGGTTCGATAAAATTTACAAAGAACTTTCGGTTATTTTAATACAGCGAGTAAAATCAGAAGAAGAGAGTGGGAGAAAAAAAAAATAAAAAGAGATCGATTAAGGAAATGTATTGATATGCCAGGAATGGGAGTAGGAAACAACATTTTTTCATACTTATAAGAATTTTTTCATTAAATTAATTAAACTATAGTTATGTACGTTTTTTTGTATGTATTTATATTTGTAAATAATAAAATTCAAAAAGTAAATAATGTATATGGTAAACAAAGAAAAACGAGAAAAAAATTTTTACAAGTTATTTTTTCTTCAATTTGTTTATTTTTTTCTGCTACAGCAATTATGACAGTATTAGCAAATGAATAATAGTATATACTTTGGATATTTGCAAATATGAAATGGTCATTAGTGTTAATATTATTAACAGTTAAAATAGGTAAGTTTGATTTTTTCTTCTTCTTTCATTATTTTCACTCATTAATCATTCTCTAATAATGTTGAAGTGAAAAGTGTTGTAGGTCGAAGTGGTAAACGATGGACAAATTTTGTTACTGGCATGAAAAAGTTTAATTCATTAGCATCGATTGATTCGAAAGAGGTGATTATTGAAGGGAGCAGTAATGAACCTAAAGGTTAAAAGTCATTTATACAAGTTAGAATGTTGATGTGAGTTCGGTCATTATTAATACGTGTTTGATCGCTTATATAGGTTGAGTCATTTATATTGGTTAACAGTTATTTATACAGGTTAAGAGTCATTCATATAGATCAGAAATCATCTATTTCTCAGAAAAGGGAAATTGAAATCAATCAAGTATGTCTATTAACGGTTATGTTCGCTTTTTTTTGTTTAATAAATAGTAAGACTTTTTTACTTAAATGTTCAAGAACAATATATAATAAAAGAAGCGTAATCGATGCAAACGGATATAAATTTTAGGAAGAATTTATAAAAAAAAAGTAAATCAAAGTCATTTATTAAATAATAAAAAGCATTATTATTAGATTTTATTAAATTTCTGCTTTTTATTCAAATTATTTGATTTAGTAAGTAAACGGTATTTGAATTTATATATCAATTAGTATTTATTCAAGTGTAATGATAATCTCATTTTGAGATGAAAGTAAGAAAATCATTATCACTCATTCCGATATTACCCATTCTACTAATATATTGATTAACAAGCCAAATGTTAATGTAAGTGATGAAAAACAATCAATAATCTTAAATTTGATGGCAAATTTGAGTAATTTGGATGATTGTACAGGAATTTGTGACAGGTAATTTAATTGAAATTTCAATGCCTATCTTGTTAAAATTATTTATATAAGGAATTGAGCATTTTCGGATTTACATCAACCGATATCTACTCGAGTTATAGTTAAGTCTCGTTTTGAACTTTTTCTTTTTGAATTAGAAGTTTTGAACTGAAGACAATGTAGAATACTTACAACAATTAGCTATAATTATAAAAAATATTGTAATATTGTAGACTGAGGAAAATTTCTCGTGCAAAAATTTTCAGGAGAATGCTTGAAATTTAAATTGGAATAAAAATGCTAAGCGAATTAAAGATTTGTAGCACACTTTTTAGGTTGATAGTTTCCGCTGCAATTAAACTATGCTCTTTGATTAATTTAAAAAAAAAAAAACTCTGATTCTGAAAATATTTACAAATCTCGAACAATTTTTTTAATTAAAAAAATTTACTGTATTTCATTATATTTTTATATTAAGTCATTACGGAGGCAGTTACATTTTTCCGGTTTTGCGTTCTGTAAACTACGACAATAACACTGTACCTACTGCATTTTCTGGTTAGTTTTTTTTCTTTCTTTCTTGAACTTTATTTTGTTTTAAATGAAAATTTCGAAAATATGAATTGCTAAATAACTACAGTCTTCTGCTTTTAGATTTACCGGTTGATGTCAGTTTTTCTCTGAAGATTATTCATTTAGCTAATTTCAATTCAAGAAATATGGACTATTCTATTGGTATGGAAATTTTGCATATTTTTATTTTTTATATATAAAAGAATAAAAAATGTTTAAATTCCAAAAATTTGGATTAAATTTTTTTTAAGATTTTGAAATGCAAATGAGTTGGGTTGATCCACGTTTGATGAATAATTACACAAGATGGATAAGAATTTGGGAAAAAAGAATTCTGGATCAAATATGGAAACCTGATCCGTATTTTGTTAATTCTAAACATTCGCATTTTCACTATGTTTCATTTCCAAATTTTCGGATGTTAATAAGCCCAAATGGCTTAGTGATTTATACGATGAGGTAATGCGAAAAATATTTTTAGGCTATTTAAAAATGAATATATTTGTCAACCCAATATTTTTAATACCTTAAATTGGTTATGAAATTTATGAATTCTTTTCTTTTTTGACATTGTAAAATTAATTAACTTTTATTTTCGTCACTAGTCTTGCTTAACTTTAATCATCCATTCAGAATAACATTACAACCATCTTGCTATATGGTTTTTTGTCGATTTCCTCATGATGATCAACAGTGTCAACTTATAATTAGTTCACGTTCGTTTCATTTTCTACCTTACAGACGTGTGAAGAGAAAAAGGAAGAGTATAGGCTAAATGAATAAAATTCAGATAATAGGTAAATGTAACAAATTGCACTGTTTAATTTTAATATCACTTCTTATTCCGAATTTTATTTTTGTAGAATCTCTTTCTGATTTATAGCAAAATTTTCATTGATATCAAATTCTTATAAATTCATGAGAAAATTTCAGAGATATGAATTTTTTCTTCTTCTTTGTTTTGATTAATTTTTTTTATCCGATTCAAATTCTCGAAGTTTTTTTTTCGTTTTCTTTGAAATTATTAATTTAACCGCCTACAGTTTAATTTTAAAATATTAATTTAAACTTGAATGACAAAATGAAATGTATACTTTCAAGTTTCTCATATACCATCAAGTGTTCGATTTTCATGGCTTTCAACGAATCCAATAAATTTGATGTCAACACAATCGTCACCTGATTTTGACCTTGTATCCGTAGATACGCATTATTGTGTTGTAGAAGGGAAATTGTGTAAGGATTAAAATTTATTTCATTCAAGTAAATTTAATTTTTAAATTTCAATAGAAGCACATAATAAACGTAAGACCAAACATATTGGAATATCATTATATTACCGTAGGATGCATTGGTTGCATTTTGCAAGTCAGTTTATGCATACCGCACAAAAATATGCGCAGCATGCAATATTGAAAAATAAATTTACTAGTTCATTTTAAAATTAAATTTACATTTTCTTTCATTCATAAAATATTGCAATTTTTTGCAAAAAGTTTTATATAGCATAAAATAATCACAATCACTACCATTTCATATTTTTAATTACACAACTTAATGCGAGAAAAAAAAATGGAAGTTTCTAAATTTCTATAAAATTAACTTTGAAAAATAGTTCTTAAACTTTCAGTACCATCATCATGTCTTCGTGCCTTATTCAAATTGAAACGAACTGGAACCCGATTTATTGTTGAAAAATACATTCCAAGTTCGTTAGCAATGTTCTTTGCTTGGATTGCACCATTTGTACCGTACAATTATGAGGAAGTACGAATCATCACACCAATTTCTGTTAGTTATTTCATTTTTCTTTTT